GCGGCCCTGGATATTATTATGTTTTATTAACTAGACCACTGGTCTAAACCGTACCTCCTAGTGGTTAAAGCACGTTATTGAATTTAGTTGTTGAATAAGTTTAATTTGTATGAAAACATTTACATATTAAGAGTAGCCTACATACAAAATAGGGGTCAATGATAGAAATATAGAATAGAAAATATCAAGAAGATACTGTAGTGATCTCTACAATAAAACAGTTTAGTGCAGGACGTCCAAAGATATTAACAGGTGGATGTGCAAAACAGACAAACTGATAAGGCTGAATTTTACTCAGGTGTAACGAAAGTCTGATTTAAGGGTTGTTTATATTTCACATCATTAATCAGAATCTGCAAAGTAACAAAAATAAATGTAGTAGAGTAAAAATACCAGGTTAACCTCTGAATTGTAGTGGAGTAGAACAAAGTAGTACATGCTGCTGTAACAAAAACATTTCCCAAATTGGGATCAATAAAGTATCTTATCTTAAGATGATCGATGGCTACTGCCATATTTGCTAAATGTGCATCTGAACCTTGACAAGTGCATGTTTCAGGCTTATCAATTAACAACAGGAGGGGTCACAGACATAAGACCAGCTGTTAAATAAAGCTCTTCTGACCTTAGCTGTCATGTGGGTATATTAATGCTACCCATTATGGGCACAAGCAATTTTCACCCATGTATTAATTATATGTTTTAAATTTGATAACACCAATGTGTTTCGTATCCCCTAAACCTCCAGGGATGTATACAGTTTAATACTGGCAACTTCTAATTGTGGGAAATACGAAAACGTCTTATAAAACTACAATTCCCAGTAGAGACGTGCCATAGAACATATTGCGAAACACACAATAGCCAGCATGTGTAATTCTGTGGGGGAGGGCTGGGCTGGACCCGTCCAAGTCCAGTTTTGGATAGTCTGGCGTGGTTCCATTCCATTTCAAAGAGCTGTTTGACATTCGGCGTAACCTTGTCGCACTGCCACTCCAACATCCAATCACAGAGCTTGAGGGCTAATCACGGGGTTTGTAAAGCAAGGCGGATGTTGTAGTCCCAAACGATAGCTGGGGATTCTGGGTAGTGTAGTGTCTTCGGAAACTCTGTAGTGTCTAAACTCCGAAAAAACTATTTGTTTCTCCGAATCGAAGGTTAAAAACACAAAAGCATTGTACACAATTTAAACCAATCAATATTGTGTAATTAACAAGGATAAACTGATGTTTTTAAGTGGATGAGTAATGGAGATCATTTGACAGTGTGGGGAATACTTCCGGTTTTATTATGAAAACTTCGAGACCGGAAATACTGTTTTCACCCATGCTAACTTTAAATGGAAGCTGCCTCATATACAGTACACGTTCTCCTGGCGAGACCTCAAATGATCTTCGTATATCTATCAAACTGTAGATCCTACACATCCACTGGACGTAGATTATAAAAGTACAATATACACTTCTCGCTAGAAATCTAATAAAAAAGCATTTTAATGGCCAAACTATTCCACAATTTAGGATTTTCCAGAGGGTAATTTGTGAATAAACGACCCTCCGGAGCGTTTGCAATCGACAGGAGCATGTTGTTTCTTACACGACCACTAGAGGTGCTACACTTTAAAACGTGACTCTGGGTCGTATTTAGCTGCTGAACAATCGACCTATATGGTCGTTTTTTGTAGGAGGACAGGCTACATTTTTTTATGGATTTTTTGTGAAAGCACTTAAGATATTCATTGCTATCGGGATGTTAAGAGCATTCCATGGAATATAACAAAAAGTGTATCTCAAGCCGGTTTCTCAAACTTACCTACCCCACCTTTAAATGACTGCATACACAGGAACTAGAAACAAACCACCACCCTGCTGAGGGTAAGATGTATTTATAGCATCACATTGAGGGAATAAAACCAGACATGGTACGAGCGTGCGCAAAACCAGAAATAATTTAGGATTTAAAGCTTACTTTTCATATGTACACTTTTCAGTTTTTAAAATAGAGTATTTCTGATTTGGCATGATAATTGCTCATCACCAGCAGATGGGCGAACTAGAATAGCGACCAAACAGCTCTGCTCCATCCAATGACATGGCTTGCACGCCTGTCCTCTAAAGCTGTCGCAAACCTGCTCATTACAATGAATTAAGAGAGGTCTGTGTGTAAATGTTGAGCCTACCGTTCAATTTTTGGTGGTGGAGGGAGTCTTAAGCTGGAGGGGGTGTGTCTGGTATGGTGGGGTGGTCACAGCCAGCATCTGGAGATATGTGTGGCCATGTCCACTGGAAAGAAAGAAACAAAGAAAGATGATTTATGAAAAGGAGAGAAAGAAGAGGGAGCAAAAGGTCTTGAGTGAGGAGTTTAACAAAGTGTTGGACATTACAGTCCGATGGTCTGTTTCGAGGTGTTGGATTTACATTCAGACTGTCCTGTCTATTGTCCAGCCTCGCTCTGTCCCTGTGCTGGCGGGCAGAATGCAGCAGTAATAAGGCCATTGCAATAGTCTTCACTCATAACCTAAATTGGAACGAGGTGGTTTGGGCCTTGGAGACATGGTGACCCTGCAGCATATCTGCACACAGATGTTTGAAAAAGTTGGCCACAGTCATTCAGTATACACCTCCTTATTGTGTTTCCATATCCAAACCACAAAGCCCTTGCAAGATATATATCACATGTAAAACCTGCAAGGCTCACACTTGGAGAAATGGTGGGAAAGGTGTGTGATTTAGAGGGTGACAGCAGACTGTAAAGGGATTTAGCTGTCCGGCCTGCCTTATCTGCAGCTCTGGTTCCTCACCAAGGGTTGCTTTTTGGGGAAGTGCAGTCTTTGGGATGGGCTCCCCGGGCTGTGTTTGGGGCTCAGCTCACAGCTTTAATTGTATCATTGCTTACAACCAGCAACTTGGAGGCTTTTTCAGTTCATTAGAAGTTCAGTGTTTCAGGTTTGCTACACTCCACATTACAGTATGTTAAATTGTGTTTGGACAGGCTGAAGTTTAATGACAAAGGCAGGCCTCCGGGGATTGATTGATTTGTGAGATAACATTTGTGTGGGAAGACAACAGCTGTGAGACACACACATAATCTTAAATTAAGTAGTTAACTCGTTTTTTTCAAGTATCACACTTCTTCTTAAATAAAGTAATAGTAAACAGTTTGAAAAACCGTTTACATGTCACTGTAAACACCTAACATTCATACTGTACCTATCTATTCTAGCCATGAGCTGATTTGCTGTCAGACAAAACGTTAAAGTGTCTGGTTCTGACAATCAAAATGATCAACAATTATTGGCTGTAACTCCTTCTTTCATGTTGTTATGGAGGTCTGAAAAACCTGTGGCAAGTGTATCTAATGTTTATGAACATTTCTTGTTCTCAAAAGCTAAGCATAGACCCCTGACCCCTCTGAAGTCAGAACGCTGTGTGACAAATATTTACTTGAATAAAGGCATTTTGTTACACAAATTTTGCATGTTATTTATTGGTTATGTAGAGACTGCAGCCATCGCCAATATGCCAAGAATTTCACAAATATTACTGATTAGCTGGACTGTAATGAGTTGTCATCTTAAAATAATGCATTTTGTAACAGAAATGTTCAGTCTGCTTGTGCTTGCATTCATCTTGAATGCAATAATTCACACAACATTTCGTCCATTTAAACACATTGCTGGTTCTTTAAAAGAAAATGTTAAATACATTAATATTTGAAGCCAATGAGATAGAAACACCTGGCTAACAATAATAACAATGATCAGATACATAAACACAGAAATGCAGTTTTTTGGCAAAGGGCTGCAGGGGTTGAATAACACAACAAGCCATAATTATACTTTTTAAAGTTATACAATTTAAAAACAAAAAGAAAAGCAAGATATAAAAGACAGAACCACCTGACATCACTATGTGTTTCCTTAAGTGGAAAAAACTATTTTGGACTATGAATCGAAACATGCTGTCACATCCTTGATAGATCTATTCTCTGCACAGCTCTGCCTACCTCTCTCTGGGAGGTTATCAACAGTTCATCATGGGAACATGGAAGTGAAAGACAATACCTTACTGCACTGCGACAGGCTCTTGGGGTATCTCGCATCACTTCAATGAAACATCAGCACCTTGAACTTGGATCATTTCGGGAGGAAGAGACGCATGCGTTACGAGATTGTCAGCTGCTGTTGTGATCAAAACAAAAAATAAAGAGGGTTCAGTCTGGTTTGTGTTTAAATGGATCACATTGGCTGTGTATTAACGGCCACAGTAATTGTGAAATAAGTAGTTTCATCAATTTCAATCTGCGGTCTTTCAAACACATCAGCATGGCAATGGAAAGACTTAAAGAGATAATAGCACACAGGCCTGTTTGACATGATCTGTTCAGATACAGTAGATTAAATCATTCAAATGTATTTTTTAGAGACACTTAAGCCAGTTAGCCCCAGTACACAGATTCATTATTTTTATCGTATAAACTAAAAATAATCTAGCCTTAAGTGATGTTTACGACAAAAAAAAGTGTTCAAATCAATTGCACTCAAACTCTACAATATTAAAACAAACTCTGACAGCAATAGTTACTTTCAACTAACAATTCTACACATAAAACACCATCACTAAATCATGCAGTGTATACAAAAGTCAAAGTCAACCGAGTTTGGCCAATATTACAATATTAAAGACACAAGATATATAAACATGCATCAACAACAATGATAGCAATAACATATCAAATCATATAAAAAATGTTTGTCAAAGTATTTTTGGTGCTTTTGTACTTTTTAAATGCAAAACTTAAAACTTTTGCTTTAAGTAAAATATCACAATACATCCTCCACCCTGAACCTTTTTAATTTCCCCCCCAAAAAGGCCCAGCCTGTCCTCCATGGAGAGGCCGATGGGACCGGCTCGTGCCATTGGGTGTCGCTGTGCGCGCGGACTCTCCACCGGCAAGTTTGGTCCGAGCGGACCACAACACAGTGAGAAGTGTCAGATAGTGTTGTTAACACGTGAGATACTCAGTGAAGGGAAGAGTGTTAAAGAAGTGGAAAACCGGGAGACACAAGGCTCCAAAATAACGCGGAAGAGAGTTTTTGAGAGAGAGCCGGAACTGAAGGAAAGCTTCGTTGGTCCTAATGAGGGAATGCCGAAAAGGAGAGCAGACACACGGCCAGAGCACCAGACATGAGTCCGAGGTAAGACACGGCATTCATGCAGACGTGTGACACTGTTTCATTGAGCTGATTTTAAGTGCACTAATATGAGTTTATCCATGGTTGATTTGACTAAATGTCTTTTCGTTTCGATTTGATGGTCCTGATGTAGCCTTCAGTATACAGACACAGCTTGAGCATCTGGATCATGGGCACGTCCGGCCTAAAGATCATCTTACAGTCACTTCGGCTTCAATATAAATGAGTATTTTTCAGTTCTTAATCTACATTAAACCATCAAAGACGCTCGATGTCATTTGAAGATAACTTTTAGCCTTATATGTGTCATATATGTGTACATATATTAAAAAAAATATTGTAGCAACCTATACATTTAATATAAAATGTTTTAATATTTTATTTTGACACTGCACACGATGACATACAGTATGGCTTAACTTCAGAACATTGAAAATACTTGTAAAGAACATTGGGAATCATTTGGAAAACAGCTGCGTTTTTATTATCTATCAATCAGAATATTTCGAGAGAAAACTGTCAGATATGTTGTCCACTGCAATAAGCATGTCCAGTTCTGTCATAGCAGGTGTTTACCCTCTATGGTTTACCTGAGAGATAGAGATAGAGAGAGAGAGAGAGAGAGAGAGAGTGTGTGTGTGTGTTTTAAAATGTTCAAGTGGTTTATCAAACCCCCTTTTAAATAATTGTGCTCTTTTAGTGAAGCCAGGGGGGCTATTTAAAAGCTCCTTATCTTCTCAGGGGAGGTCTTCAGGGAGGGAGACAACTTGATTGAATAACTTTATTGATTTAACCTATAAGTAAAAGGTGTACAATTAAAGAATGCCTGCTTACATTGTAACCCCCTCCTTCCCAAATGACACCCAAAAAAGCAAACACGAACTGAATTTGGTTAGCGTCAGATAAAAATAAAAGACTGTCTTTGACATGAAAACATTTAACACATCTTGGTGTAATCAGTAAAATCACAGCGTTAAACGTATTTCCAAAGTTGGAGTGCGCTGACTGATCATAAATGCAACATACACAATGGCTGCCTGTCTCTTTAAGACGATGTGTTGAGAAGTTCAAGTCGGGGTCACTTAAAGTTCCTGCCCTCGATTTTACCTTTAAGTTTTATTATAGACTGACATCACACGGGGCGCTAAAACACTTAAGGCGCATAGAGGCTCCATTATCATCCCGGTGCGCGTTATTGCTCCGACTCAAAAATAGCTAAGGAAATTACTAGCAAAAAAAGGAGGAAACTGATGCTGGTATAAGCACGTATTTTTATAGGAGGGGGTGAGAAAGAGGGGAGAGGAGGGGCAGCAGAGACACACAGAAAGAGGGAGAGGGAGGAAAGTGGGTGGGAGGACGGACCTAAGGAGCGACAAGAAATTCATATCAATTAATAATCATAAAAAAAGAGCTGGCAGACGCGCTCGGAAAACTGGCATGGTTTTTTGGAGGCTGGCAGTTCAAGCTGAAACGTCAGATATGACTCCTAGAGACTGCTGAGATGATCATTAAGGGAGACTTAGATCGGATGGCAGAAGACATCGGGCATGCAGGTAAGAACAGATACGATGCACACACGCAGGCACCCAAACAAGAAAGGGGCTAAAGGACATTTAGGATTGTATTCATAAAACTGTGGACCGCATGCTGGCAGCGAAGATATGTGTTTCTTATGTAAACGTTGTACAATACGAGTATTTTAAACAATGCAGTATCTGCTTTTTATTTCAGTGCATGGTTAATAATTGTGATAACGACAAGTAAGGCCATGCTACTCCTTTTTTTACTTTCATTTTATTTGAGCCGGTTGGGAAACGAGCAATTCTTTCTTCAAATTATAAAGTATCCATATCATTTTTTTTTAAAGTCAGTAAATGTGTAAAATCATTCCGGATAAGTCACATAGATCACATCGTGTCTCAGAAATCTGAAAACATTATGCAAAAAGTTTCGAATAGACTCCAAACTAACAGAAGTCTGTGTCATTGAAATAAAAACTGATTTTTCTTTTTTTTAAACAAATGAAATGCTTTTTAGTTTTGAACTCAGCTTGAATGCAAAGTTAAAGGGAACATCGACGAGTGTTTAAAGGGAAATTCAGCTTATTCGGTTATCCCAATAATACATTTAAAAAGGAAGCAACAGTGAAATCATAATTATGCATCAATGTCGAAATGAAAACAGGCCAATCACTGTGTAATAATGTTACCACTGAGATCAGGCGAAACACGCACCAAATGATATGATGTGAACACTTTTGTTTTCTGGTTTATTTTGTAAAAGCCGAGATGTTAATACGCGTATTAGAGAGAAGCTGCTCAGTGATGTTGACAGCAGCTGTCTGATGCACCTTGAAATACAATGAGCTGAAAACAGGTCTGTTTCTGAGGTGATTTAAGACTCGCAGATACAGTGGAGGTTTGAAGAATGAGGCGCTGCAGCTCAGAGAGATGGATGCACCCGTGATTCTGTTGACTGTGTACAATATGACTAAAGAGTCAAACAGATTAGAAGACGAGTCCTCTCTGCGACACACAGTCAGCAGACAATTTAATGCTTTGCTTGCAAAACGGGACGTAAGGTACTCAGATGTGAGGCAATGAAATCTTCTCCGCAGGCGAAAACACGTGCATAACCTAGGCTACCGTCATTATAATGTAGCCTACTTTTAACAATTATAAATTCAAAACAAGTGAATTAAAATGGAATTATCTGATGTAAAACCTGCACGTCATCAAATGGTTGTTAATCCAAAAAACGTGCAATGTATCCCGTTAATTCCCTACCTAAATGTCATTAATATGATTATACGTGACCTGTTGCTTAAAAAAACGACTAAGTTCCGATCAGGGATAGGACACTGTCATGCTTCCGACTGTTTTATAATTTTATTTTTATTTTTTGGATTTGCCTAAAATTTGCTTTAATTATCCGTGATATTTGCTAACCTGACTAATACTCAATTTATTTACCCATCATGCTGTTTGTCTAACTTTTAACTCCTTCAATTTGCCTGCATGTTTGCCTCTTGTGAATGACTAATTTAATTAATTAAAGTAAATAAGACAGTTAACATCTTTAAAACAAATTAAACTGATCTTGTAATGCTGTGTTTCTTCATAAAATGAATGTGAACGGTATATGAACAGGATTAAATGCAGGGTTGTAATATAAGGCGATGAGCATGCAGTCAGCAATTATATTGAAAGACAATAAAGTGTCAAAACAATGTTTTAAGCAGATGTCTGGAGTGTTTATGCACTGAAGCTGCATGTAGAGGTATAGTACGTTTAGTCTCGTTCACTCAAAACCACACAAGTGACATAACAGACAAAACACAGGTACAATAAATATGAATCTAATGCAAAAAACTGAATAACCTCATCGTCATAAATGACATCCCCATCATGTAAGTTTCCTTAGCATGGGTCATTATCAGATGGAAACAGCTCATAAGGATTCAAGTAATGTGCAACCTAGAAAAATGATTCAGTTTAGCCTGTTTAACAAACAACCTGTAGTTTATGATTTTAATTTGTGTTTCCAAGAACATTGCTTGTCCTGAGATGCTTTTCTGACTTATATATCATTGCAATCAGATGGCTTCCGAACAGGATGCTGTGAGCTTACTCTTGTCCTAAAGATCAAGAGTTTTATACAACATGTGTTACTCTGATCTTTCACTTTTCTGTCAGTAAGCTACATCAAACAGTGAGCTCAGAAATAAAAAAAGCACATATTATCTTCTCAAAAGACTCTGATCATAATGACAGAAAAGAGACTCTTATTGTCTTGATGGGAAACCCACAGAAACCCTGACTGTTGTTATCACAAGACATTAACGAAAATATTTTTTTTCTATGCACATTGCAGGCGCACAGACATGTTGCTCGGTGCATGAGACCTTCCCTGTGTCATAAAAAGGTCTTAAAAATGTGGATATATGAAATGTGTATTTAAATGTCTTATACTCTTTAATAGAGAAATGTGTAAGAAGGCCTAATTTTTCTGATCTGCTTTATGATGCAATAGATCTGTGTCGCATGATATGGCGCTGTAGACCGCATAGATACGAGTGTACACTGATTGTGTGTGTGTTAGTACACAAAGTGTCACCACGCAGAATAACCAGCAACAGTAAGCTAAACACCCCTTAGTGCAATGGCGACTGCAAAAGTTCAGCACGCTCTTGAAAGTTCTTAGCCTATTCCTCATATCACCCTCACTTGTAAACATGTTTGATCTGACCGACGCTGAAATTTATAGTAAAATATGACCGTTGAGTAATCAAAGCCAGACAGAAACCAGAAGTGGAAACACTTTAGATGACAACTGGGAACATGATGGAGCGTAAACCCACCTAAACCTGTCTTACTCGCCTTTTATTAATAGCCTTTTATTGTTAAAAAAAATAATAGATAAGAAACTCTTTTGAAGTCATGGATTTAGATGTTTAGATTTAAGAAAAAATATATTCATATTTTTTTCTTTCATTTTAATAACTGGTTTATCAAGGATCACTTTTTCTTCTTATGTTATAGGACTAACGCTTAACATGAATTTAAGAAAAGAGAGGGGAATTGTACTAAGAAGTGACCTTGGGTTTAAGACGTGTACAGTTTTATCAGAAGGGCATTGCAAGAGAAAGTACCTTTTTTTTGTTCAGTATTCTCCAGAAACAGTTACTAACTCATGCGTCAAGGTTTATTTAATTTAAATACCTACTTCCCTATTCTGTATTTAGCGTGTACACTGAATGAAATAAACAAGAAGAGAATGATCTGATGACAGGAAGACCATGATCAGACGGATTACATGATATTTATTTAGTCGCTTGTTTCCCATCAGTGAGACTAAGCCCTTAGGGACAGTTTGAGACGTGTAATGTCATAAGTAAACTATCCTCAGATGCCACTGATTGAACAATACACGGTGCGGTGTCTCATGCATTCAGCTGATGTAGTTTATTTTAGACTCGATGGAACAATTAGTGTTGATATTAGAGTGTATATGATTGGGTGTGTAGACTCCTAGAGGCCTTCTCAATGTAACATTTTGAACCAAGTAAAGTTGATTCACATACCATGCACTCGGTGTTCCTTATATGACTGGGCAGAAAGGGGAGCGAGAGACCAATCTTTTTTTGGATGTGTCTGTTCCCTACAGGTTTTATACCTGCTGTTCATCATACTTGTGAAACATTCATCCCTTGTTTTGTTTAAAACTCTGCGCACCACTTTTGGAAAACTTTCAGCAAACCAGCTACAGTACAAAATATTTATCTGGTGTTCTCTCAATTTTGTTCTTTCTTTCTTTTTGCTCGCTGCAGAGGAAGTGAATGCATATTTTTGAATTTCTGATAATGAGAAAACCATTGCAGCAGTTCACCTTTTGCAAAAGTTCACTTCTACTAAGTGGCCTTCGTATGCACTTCCCTTGTATGAGTTCTGCACTCTGCAAGTTCCAACACATGGAATTAATGAATTAAACATCACTATGTAAACTGTAAATTATTAATATAAATGTGCATAAAGATGCAATTTACTTAAGTGATGTGTTTTTAAAATAAACGTTATAAATGAATTCCTCTATTTTAATCCTCATAAATGTATGTGTATGCAAAAGAACATTTTGCTCCTATAATCGACTTAATGACTTTAGTTTTTTTTATGTCAATCAAAACCTTTGGCACTCAAACCTCAATATTTGTTATGTGTAATTACACTGAACAAAAATATAAACGCAACACTTTTGTTTTTGCTCCCATTTTTTATGAGATAAACTCAAAGATCTAAAACATTTTCTATATACACAAAATAACCATTTCTCTCAAATATTGTTCAAAAATCTGCAAAAATCTGTATAGTTAGTGAGCACTTCTCCTTTGCCGAGATAATCCATCCCACCTCACAGGTGTGGAATATCAAGATGCTGATTAGACAGCATGATTATTGCACAGGTGTGCCTTAGAATGGCCACAATAAAAGGCCACTCTGAAACGTGCATTTTTGCTTTATTGGGGGGGTCTGGGGGGGTCCGAAAACCAGGCAGTATCTGGTGTGAGGGGTAGGGGTAGGGGTAGGGTTAGGGTAATGTTGTGAATCGAGTGGCCTGTGTTCGTCGTCCATTACATACGACTGCCCATACCATAACCCCACCACCACCATGGGCCACTCAATTCACAACATTACCCTAACCCTAACCCTACCCCTCACACCAGATACTGACTGGTTTTCGGACCCCCCCAATAAAGCAAAACTGCACGTTTCAGAGTGGCCTTTTATTGTGGCCAGCCTAAGGCACACCTGATTTTTGAACAATATTTGATTTGTGAACAATATTTGAGAGAAATGGTTATTTTGTGTATATAGAAAATGTTTTAGATCTTTGAGTTCATCTCATGAAAAATGGGAGCAAAAACAAAAGTGTTGCGTTTATATTTTTGTTCAGTGTATGTTATTTGATGTGTACATAATATTTTCCAAAGATTACATTTTCTAAAGTGCAACAATAATCATTCAAATTAATCAAGAAAATGACATTAAAAAGTTGTTGTGTTTGGAAATGCTGACTGCCACATGATGTTTTACAGATATCTGTTGTTGCAGGTGGCGGACTGAAGACGATGCTGGATGCCATGGATGTTCCAAGTCATGCTAGGGATCTCCTCCTGCAGCTCAACAGCCAACGAACCAAAGGCTTCCTGTGCGATGTTATCATTGTGGTGCAGAACGCCCTCTTCAGAGCTCACAAGAACATTCTGGCTGCCAGCAGCCTCTACTTGAAATCTTTGGTGGTCCATGACAATCTGATCAACCTCGACCACGAGATGGTGAGTCCAGGGGTCTTCAGGGTCATTCTGGACTACATCTACACAGGCCGCCTTAGTGAGGGAGAACCCACTTCTCCTACTGAACCCAATCTAGGTGCTGTGTTGGCAGCAGCCAGCTACCTCCAGCTGCTTGACCTGGTGGCTTTGTGCAAAAAGAAGCTGAAAAGAAATGGCAAGTACCCTCCCCGGCCTGGGCCTGCATTTCTGCCTTACCCAAAGATGGGCCCCAACAGTATGGGTTTAGGGAGTGGTGGCAGGTATAGGATTTCCACTCCTGTCATTCAGTCCTGCCCTCCAGGAGGAATTTTGAATATCCATGCAACGCGGGCATCACCACCAGAAGAGCTAGTTCCCCATCGGATAGCCATTCATGCTGGGGAGCTGTATGCTCCAACCTCCATCCAAGGCTCTCAGGTGTTCCCGCCCCTGCAGTCAGCTCTGCCTGCCCAGCTGGGGCGCTCAGCCCACCCTGGAAGGAACTGCTCCCCAAACCATGGCCTTGATCTCTCCAAGAAGAGCCCCAACTCCCAGTCTCAGCACACACCCTCTCAATCCCATTTGGCAAATTCTCACAATGATGAGGAGCGAGACGGGATCCTGAGCGGTCGCACCAGTCCCATGCAAGGGACAAACGGAAGGGCTTTCCCCTCAGAAAAAATGGATTCAACTGACCAGGCAAGCTCTCTTACTCCTCCACCATTCCCCCATATCAACCAGGCTCTGGGCCCCCACCTCCCCCACCTGCATCGCCACCAGGGCCGGGATCGCTACCCATGCCCCCCCAGCCCTGATACCCCAACAGAAGGCGGAGAAGCAGGCAGAGATATGGGCAACATCTACCGCTGGGTGAAACATGAGCCACTTTCATACACAGCAGAAGATGAAGATGAGGATGAGGATGAAGAGGAAGGGGGCGAAAATGGAGACCGGCATCATAACCATCACAAGGCCGGGGAGGAGAGTGAAGGAGTCGACGATAAGAGCGGGTCAGGCACAGAGGAGACGGGCAGTAGTGAAGGCCGCCCCTCGCCTTCTGGACCAATGGGGAGGTTCCATATGCCATATGAGCCAGAGAGCTTTGGGGACAATCTGTACGTCTGCATTCCCTGTGACAAAGGCTTCCCGAGCTCAGAGCAGCTCAATGCACACGTGGAGACACACACGGAAGAAGAGCAGTACTGCAACTCAGGTGGGGAGATGGGAAACGGCAATAACGGCCCCAAAAACATGAGCAGTAATACAAACGGTTATGGGGGCCTGAACAGCAGCAACAGTCTCTCCCACCTGGAGTCCAAATCCAGCCAAGCGCTGAATTCAGGGGGGATCGGGGAAATGATGCGACCCTACCGCTGTTCCTCCTGTGAGAAGTCCTACAAAGATCCTGCCACTTTGCGGCAGCACGAAAAGACCCACTGGCTGACCCGGCCTTACCCTTGCAGCATCTGCGGGAAGAAGTTTACGCAGCGCGGCACCATGACGCGCCACATGCGTAGCCACCTGGGCCTTAAACCTTTTGCCTGTGACTCCTGTGGCATGCGCTTCACCCGCCAGTACCGCCTCACCGAGCACATGCGCATCCACTCAGGGGAAAAGCCCTACGCATGTCAGGTGTGCGGAGGAAAGTTTGCTCAGCAGCGCAACCTCATCAGCCACAGCAAGATGCACAGTAGCGGGGGGAGTGCAGGGGGCCTGACCACAGATGGGAAACTGAAGCTGGACTTTGCTGAGGGCATCTACCCACTGAGTAAATATGCAGCAGAGCATTTGGGCCTGAAGCAGGAGAAGGCCAATGAGCTCCTAATCCAAGCCCAGCAGCAACTGGTAGCTGATGCAAAGGTCATGGAGAGCCTCTACCCGCTGTCCAAACTGGCCGCAGAGCACCTCGGTATCCCCCTCGACAAGATGGATGTCATGGGCCAACCCCTCCTCCCTTCCCTCTCTGATGGCCGCATCATTGACCGTTACTCACCCAGCTAAAAGCACATGACCTGTATAAACAGCAGTCACCAATAGGTCTGTGTGCACACACAATTGCAGTATTCTAAAGCCTTTCACCTCAACTCCATATCTCCTCTGCACCTCAGACTCAGGCCGAGAGGAATTGGTCTGCTCATGCACACCAAAAAGTGTAGACTGTAAGTGCCTTTCTATGCATCTAATGTATCTTAAAATCCTCCTTCATAAGGGAGCTCTGTGCTATTCCGTGACCAAGAGACACTTATTCAAAGAAGTACAGTATTTATGTACAGTGTATGCAAACAAACATTTCAGTCATTGAGCCAAAGTGACAATTTGAAAACCAAAATGAAATTGTTATATTTATTTTTGTATCATGATGAAATCCAAAGAGAAACTTTTGCAAGGAAGTGTTGCAATATGACCCTAAACCTGTGTAATATTTAGTATCACCTGTGTACAAAAAAAAGTAAAAAGCACATAAGGACAAGATTCAGTGTTTTGGTCCAGACCTGAGCAGAACCAAATGAATAAGCCAACTCATGTGGACTTTAAAGTAATGGGAGCATATATGTTTTTTTTTTCTTCTTCTGTTTTTGGGGCGACTGGACAATTTATGTATTTCACTCTCCAGCTTATCCAAATCATGTTCCTGCCCCTAAAGTCACGAGGAAATGACTGAACGATAAGAGCAGTTGCCTCAGCATTTTAGTAAAGTCTCATCAGTTTTATTTTCTCCACTTTTTTATAAAGTAACCCGCTCTCCCACATATCTTTGTGGATTAGGACTCATACTATGTGACAGTAATGGTAGCTTAATCAGCCTTACACTCAGCGGCCTACAGCTAAAACTTCCTTTGTATTTTGCCTCACATCCCTTAGCTTTCAGTTGTTGTTGAGATGCAGTAAGCTCAGCCCTGTGATCTCATAACTCGGACATGATTGCACATACCCAACTGCTGACACATAAATGCCTGAGAAGAGTGTAGCTGCATCTCATGGTGTAGACTAAGCATGGGTGTTGCCTCTGACATTTACAATTATGGATGCAGCAAAGCAGAGAAGTAGTGACCAGGTCAAAATTAACGGCACTGAAATCTGTCATTAACTGCCAAAAGCAATTATTCCATTCACAGCAGCCTGATGACAAACTGCGTAGCGACACAAGTCACATGTCGCATTGCTGCTCCACTCTCTGTAGTCTGAGGCCGGGAGCCCAGCTACTGTTGACAGGCCAAAGTGAGTGCTGCACTCAGCCCTGTGCCTTCAAAGTGTTCTGATCCGCTCACCACACGCCTCTTCCACACTCACACAGCGAGCTGCTAATCTGTCTGTGATACGAACATAAGAATGGGTTTGTGGGTCTTCCCTGGAAGCCAGCGGGTGAACAGTACAGCCCAGCTGCTGTGCCTCAGTAATCCCCTTGAAATCTCACTTTCTCCTGGACAATTCCCACTGCTTGCCAGCATGATGTCCCATTTCATGCCTGCCATGTTGCCCCTCTGATCCACTCATCAACATCATATTTAAGCCCAGCTAATGTCTAAAGGCCTCGCCTCCTCCACGCTGGTCTTTTTTTAATACATATTTCAGTATTGGCTGACCAGCGATAACTCCATCTTGAAAACAAAAAGCACTTAAAGGTTGTGGGTTGCCGGCACATTTATAAAAAAACATGTTTATTCCAAAGAACATTCTGGCATTTTCTTTTTCCATTTGTACTACTCCTTGATTTAGATTAGACATGTCTGACCACTATAGTGCCAATGCCAACCTCAGTGGGTGAATGTGAAGACTAAAGCCATAAATACACTGTGATTGACGTGGTGAATTTTAAAGGCCAAAAGAAAACAGAGACAATTTGCCTGACCTTTGGATTTTTTTTTTTTTTTTTTAAATGTAATTATAATTTAAGGGCTTCTTCTCTGTAGCATATCAATATGTGGTTTTCTGTCACTTACTTTTCTTTATTTGATTTGAGCTGAAAGCAGCGCACGTGAAACTGGTGCTTACCTCAGGACTGAACCCAGCATGGGGACGCAAAGCTTTTCTAAACTTTCAAATTACAATGTTAACACACACACACGCACACGTGCACACACCCTTTTTTTCCTTATTAACAGGGCAGTTGTCCTGTGTTAAACCTGTGGTTATTTCTGTGTTTATACATTTCTCGTTACAGTTTTATGATGGGGAGATAACATGTGATATTAACCATTTTTTGTTTTTATTTTTACTATGCGGTATACATTTTCTATTGTGTTTCCTCAAAGAGGCTTGTGTCGATCTGACCAATTCCATTGTAATAACATAAGGCAAAGTCAGTTTGGCAGTTTGTTTAACTTTGTGATTTTCTGAACCACACTTAAGAGAGCAAGGTGGTATTTGTCTTTGTTTTTAACCACACACACAAGTATATGTGATAAGTGTTTTGAAAAGTATCAAATAGAGATGTATTCTCAGTAATTCCTCCGAGCAGTTATTTTACAGGGCGGGTATGAACACTCGCCACATTATGTGACCCCTTTCCTCCAGAGGTTAGTGAACAGTCAATGATGAGTGAGACTGAGGTTATACATGTACAAAAACAAACAGGAAGCCAGCTTGTTTTCTATGATCCTTCAAGTTTTGGGACTCTTTTGTTTGGCTCTGTACCTAAAACCAGAATGTAGAGCTTTAATGAAACATTATTAAAAATGAGAACTTGCTTCACAAGCATGTGCAAACGTGTGAAACATTTAGAAAGAGGCGGATGTCTGTCGTGGGAATTTCAGTCCCTTCAGTCTTTCTCATTCACTAGCTTAAATGGAAATCTGTCTCCTCCTTCTCCCTGCCTTACACCATTAAAATAACACAATGTGTTTCCACTGTCACTCCAAATCTGTGCAGGAGGGAAGAGCGAGATAATGGCTGAACATTTCTTGTAGGACGGGCAAGGTTTGAAATTTGCTTAATTGCATTTACGTGTACGACAGACAGAGGTGTAGGCTATGTTTCTATGGAAAGGGGAAGCGTTTGCTTGTCTGTTTGTATGTCCCTATGCCATCGGTGCGTATGAAGGTCTGTTAATGCATGTCCTGGGAATAGGGTTGGTGTAAAGGAGAAAAGCTGAGGAGCAGGAAGTGAACTTTTGGCTGGCGTGTTGTGCTGAGGAGGATGTGCCGTGTGTTTCTGCTCAGAGGCAGATAGAGAGACGGAGAATGGGGCGGGAGAGGAGCAGGGAGAGCGCAGCAGGGTGGACGCGAGCCATTGTCTCAGTATGAAAGCCTGTTCGTACTTCTAAAACTCTCCATTCAGAAAACAAGAAGACTGTATCTTCTCTTTTCCTTCCCTTTCTGCTCTTTGGGAATAGACCTCTGCTCAGTATCACGGTGATACAACATTGTGTTCTTTTAAGGGCTGCGCAGCGAGGAAGCCATTCAGACATTTTGTTACACTTTGAGGATGTCGTGGATAAAATAGTTTGGCATAATTCTGTGCACATAAATTCCTTACAATATATTTTCCATTATATGTCGATAACATTTTTTATTGGGGCTGGAATATTCAAGGGAAAATGTAAGGCAAAACAACTGGGTTGTAAATCAGATTAAAAAAAAACTAGAAGTAATTGTATTGCTCTGTGGTTGATTCAATTAGTAATTACAGCAATTACAAAAGTCTTGTTTCAATTTACTCATGTAGCCACTCACCCCTTGGGTTTTAATGCCATAAGCCTTTGTTAATGTTATTTAGATGACACATCAAAACTGCTCTTTGCCACTAAAATGAGATGAAGATGTTTTGAAAGTAATATAATTATGCATTTAAAACAATTGATTTGTTATGTCAATTGATATAATAAAAATAAATGAATGCAAATACAAATGCGTGTAAAAGACAAACCACCAACTATGACATGTGGGTTGATAATTTTATTGTAATATTAAGGCAACCATCCCAGCCCCTTAAATGTTATGATACTAACAATACAACAGTAAACAAATGTCTGCATGATTTCTAGTGGCCCTGTAAAGACCAAAAACGGTTTAAGGTTTAATGCTAAATGCAAAGTGTGCCTTTAAGCTTTCTAGCAGCAAGCGGGCCGAGGTCACCTATGTGAGTCAGACAGGATGAAAAGTCCTGATCTGCAATCATACCGCCATTTGACATTTACTGTATTTTATAATATCTGCCAAAAGGGCTGAGGCACATAGCAGACATCGCAGATGCTCAAATCAAAACTCAGCATCAATCTTTGTAGTTTCCACGGGTTGCACTGTAGAGCTAAGCTTCTGACCACTTTTGCCTTTTATTGAAAGCCATTATATATATGGCTAATCTTCAGAGCACAGTTCACACATGCCACTATTGTCCAGTGTACATATTTCTTTTTATGAGGACTCATGTATAAATGTAAGCTAGAGCCAAATAATATCAATAATCAAGCTGTATATTGATGTTGAAACCAAAAACATGTGCCTTCAGGATAACAAGCATTGATTATTCCGCAATAACTTGCTATGTGTATAACTTACGCATGTGTGTGTAAGTGCGTAGCTGCGTGTGTCCACGTAGTGCACCTGTCCATCTACATGTCTGAACGCCTTTCCCACAGTAGAGCAGGGTGTAGCGCAAGAGAGAGCTTTGACACTTTCAAGAGTCTTTGTTACAAGCAGCTGCTTTAGATTTATTTCCCCAAACTGCACTTTTCTGGAAAAATCATTGTATTGTGATTTTTTATTACTCTTGTGATCCCCTAGAAGTCCCACAATTGCCTTTCTTCTGGCACTTTGCTTTCCTCCTCTTCCTCCCTCCAGTGCAGAGCTTGGCCACACTTGTTCACCGCCCTTGTTACCTCGAGGCACCGCTCTCCTCCTCACCTCTCCCTGTCCCTTCTCTCTTCTTACACTCAACACAAACCGCTGACCCCTTCCTCCTCCATGATCCACTTTCTTCCAGCTGTTTTTCATGCTGAAGAAGACAGTTGTCTAAATGTTTACATGAAGAGCTACTCTCTTTTTCTTTAGGCCCTGATCAATTTCCAAAATGAACTTTGTGGCATGTGTTAAAATACAGCAGATGATGGGCCAAATAAAAAGAGCCTGAAATCGTTGTTGTATTCTGAACCTCTAGCCAAGAAACGGCTTACAAAAGGGAGATTAAAGACAGCATATCATCATAGAGGAAATGCAGAATAATGTGAGGGGAAATGTTCAGGGAAAATATGCTCAGAAAGATGCCAGTAAAGTAAACATGTATGAAATTGCACAATTGAGCCGGGCTTCGGCTGCACCAGCCAAGTCATGCACTGAGATGGAGAGAACAAGTAAGGGAGAGAGGTTGAGAAGAAAAGAAGCAGAAACAGAGAGAAAATAGCTTGTGCTTGATAGTCATAATAACGTTGAGTTAATAACAAAGAAAAGTTGGTTGCTCTTCTAACGTTTTTCCCCCTCATTTTGTTCTGTTTTTACTCTATTTCATTTCCCTCTTTAAGGAAATTGTCTTGTGAGGAAATTAAGTTTTCTTTTCCTTTTCGTTATTGACTGCTTCGGGCCATTGTCAAGGGTTTTAAATGTTAATGTGCATGTCATGTCATCCTTTTTCCAGACCTAACAATTATCACCCAATCAGCACACGACCCACAGAAGGCTCTTTGTAGACGAATAGGGAAGGGGCTTCTGGCTGCCTATGTCCTCTTCCATCTGTTAGACTTGGACCTCCATGTCTGTGTCTATCTTGAACACATGCAAAGACAGACTCAGTGGACTTTGGCTCAAATATTTTCTTTTACAACTTCTGCTCCAGAAGTTTAAATGTAAAGACAAACAAGGGACAAAACAAACAGGAATTTAGAAGCTGGTCAAGGGGAAGATTTGATTGTATATCTAGCATGCACACACACATACACACAGCTGCATGGCAGGCTGCTGGTCTACATTAGGTCAGATTTAATTTGGTTTCCCTGCTCCTTTTAGAGTGTCGCTTCTAGTATAAAAAGTCATTATTAAAGAAACGGTGATTCCCCTGACGGCTTCAACCCAACACATACTATAGTCTGTGCCAAAATGTTACAGAGCCTCAGGGTCCACACACACAAACACACACACACACACACACACACACACACACACACACACACACACACACACACACACACACACACACACACACACACACACACACACACACACACACACACACACACTTTTATTTTGGTTTTGGAAAAAGGTTACGTGTTGAAATGATGGATTATGATCTAATGAAGATCACTGTTATGTTTCGGGGGTTGTTGTACTCGACTGGTTGTGGTTCAGGGATTAGGAAGTTCAGCAGTAACAGACTGCCACGCAGACAGTGGTATCTGCGGATAGAAAATACATCACAAATGTACAATGGAAATGAGATTTTTCAGTGGAACACAGAATCTTATTTCAGCAGGCATAAAGCACACGTCCAAAAAGCATCAATAATGTTCAGTGGTTCATTTTGTGTGATTAAATACACCATACAAACTATTTAAAGCAATACATAAAACCAAACAGTATTTCTGCATTTTCTACATTTCATTGTCAATATTGATCTTACTTTGCTTTAGTGAAATGAATGTATTTATTGCATGTCAAAATGTTTTATAGTTAATTTTTGTGTAAATGTCAATTGTGGGTTTTTATAATAATTTCATTTAATTATGGTGTCTTGATAAAATCATGTCGATAAGGCTTTTATTTTTTTAAAAGCCAATGTGAAAAATGTCATGTTTGTTTTGTTTGTTACTATACTCAAAATCAACTTGGCAATAAAGTAAATTGCATAACGGATTACATGAGGAAATGTGTCATTTTTCAATGAATGTACTGTGTTTTCACTTCTAATTAAAATAGAAATAATTATGCATGAATATTAATTTAAATAGTCATCATAATTCAGTTGGAAAACATTCCGTTTACCAATTTCCTAGATATGATTTATATTTACTTGAATTTAATTAACTATACTTACCCAATTTCCTCAAATCTTCCACCTTAAGCATTTTATATTAAACCATCCAATCAATCATTTTAGTTTAAGACATATTTATTGTGCAGGATATGGGTTTCATATTAAAGGAAAAATATGATACAGAAGACGACGATCAAGACCATTTCACAGCAATGATAACCGCAAAAAGGAGCAACTACTGTTCTTTTTCCTATAATACATTCGCCTTCAAGTCTATATTCTCCCACATGGAGACATGAGTGCCTCATTTAAGACAGAGAATTTCAAATGAATCTCATACATCACACACAGTCCACATGCAACAATGAACAGATCCATTACTCTGTCAGCAGGAGCGAGCACGCACGCATGCATGCACGCGCGCGCGCACACACACACACACACACACACTTTTCCACTTATTATCACCAGCACATAAGAAATCACAGCGCCTTCCAGATGTTTGATATGAATCAAGCAACTTCCCACAAATTACATCTTGACATTAAAACAAATTAGCATTTCTACTCTCAGGTGCTGTAAATCATCAACGTTCATGAACTAGATGTGCTTCCTGAGAGCTCATAATCACCAGGTGTAATGTTAAAAACATTACCCGCTTTATGCAGTATGAACAGCAGGTGAAAACAAAAGGAACAGCATCACATTCATCATCTTCTTCATCCTGTTTCCCAATACTGGAATGCAGGCTCAGTTCTCTTTTAGTTGAAGGAGAGTTTTACCATCATAGCGTGTCTATAATGAAAACTCAAAGCCCACTTACCAGTTTTTTCAAGAGCTTCCGAGGTGTGTTTTTGTATGATCTTCTCTGTTAGAACATTGTGCTAACATAAATGAATGCATAGAAACATCAAGGAAACAAAGGTTAATGAGTTAGGTTGTCGACTAGCCCGATGTTAAGACGGATTGTCTAAACCCCTTTATTTGGTTGCTCGGTCCAAATAATTGCTTTGCGTTGGTCGGGGCGTGTTGCTTCAGGTACTGGTGTGACATGAAATACGATCCAGGAAGTACAGTATGAGCAATATGTTGAAAAGCTAATCCAATGCCAAAATGCTGCACAGCTGTTTATACCTTGCGAGACAGGATTTTACTCTGGGAAGTAATCACAGTGGTAACTATATTATCTTTATCGTGATGATTAGAAAGCAGGCAGCGTCAAAGTGCAACTCGCTGCAATACCATATCATTCTGCAGCCCACAGGCATGTTCTGTTTAGTGATTGGTTGATTGTACTCAGGGCAGTTCGCTGAGCTTGAAGCCGGCGCCGCAGCTTCACGCTGTGACGTCATGTTGCAACATTAGTAATGCCCTTGTTGAACTAATGAAGACATCAATTTTTGTCAGAGCCCTCTGCATTGGCATAGACAAACATACATTTTGCCAAAATAAGAAATAGTTAAAAAAATAAATCTACGCTTTCAGTTAATATCTTCAATTCAGGGCCAGTGGTCTGGACCCTCAGTGCCCACTGCTCACACTGAGAGACCAGGATACTTTTTGGCAGTGGGCCCAACTACACCCTGCACCCTCTGGGACGCATCACATTAAATGGCAAAGGTCTGAGGTGTCTGGTGTCGGGCACACGGTGCCCTGGTTAGGCCTGGTAATGTCAAGAGGGTCACATAGGCCAGGTACCAGAAAGAAATGTAGACTTCTCGTGTGAGGTTTGCATGATGATGCTGTGTTTGCCCAGGGATGGAGCAATGAACTTTTCAGGATGTAATCCATGAGTAGGAATAATAAAACATGCGTAGATGAAGTGGGTAATCATTGGGTTTCCAGTGGGCTGTGTATTTGTGTAACCCAGTGCTTCAGATGGGGAGTAAATGGGACATGAGAAGGGCAAAGGTGTTAACTGCAGAGTCATTCAAACTCTGAGGGACTCTGATGTCTGTGCACAAAAACACCCAGCAGTGTCACTGCTCTCAGCACTAAGGAAAACAGATTAGCGTGTGTGCTCATATCTGTTTTCTGTGTGTGAAACAGTGACTGTAATAACAATTGACTTAATGTCATTGCAATGAAATGTCAGCATAATGAAGCTCTTTATTTTTGGGGACTTTTGTGGCTTCCCTTTAATCACAGGAAGAAAATAATTATCTCTAAAGAAAAAAAAAAAGCCATTATTCACACAAGCTTCCCTCGAACAGCCCTAACGATTAACATTTAAAAAGAAGTTCCAGTCACCGTTTCATGATCATTCGGAGTTGGACTCTTTCAGCATAAAACTGAAACGAGGAGTCTTTATTTCCTGTTTCTCTGATATCTGGATTTTTCCTCTCTCAGCTTACATTTCAAACTGATAGCTTGTGTTTTCTGAGCTCACATTAAGACACATCCTCTGCCAGTCACACCTCAGTCAATTCAGACAAAGATATCTCGGCTGATTTTTTCCTATAAAATAAACTTGCAAATACGACACGATTTCAAACAAATGCAGTTTTAAATGGGCATCGTTTTTAAATAAACTAATGTGAGAGCAAAACAGTATTAAGAGTCTATAGGTAATGTGCTTCATGTAAAATGGTATATTATTTAAGATGAGAGGGTGGCCAGAGAACCACAAAGAGGAAGTCGTTGTATCCTGCAAAATGTAAATTATTTATAGGTTAAAAAAATCTAGTTGATCAATAAAAGCATAAAAATACATCTCAACCAAACTACACTACACCAAGTTTGCTTTAGTTTATGAGAGAAAGAGTAGAACATTGATAGGAAGAAAACAACACACCAGTCCAATTAAATGGCAATGTTCTTCAACTTCAACATGATGTGTGTGACTCCATGTTTTACCGTCTTCCTCCTCCTCTTATTCTCCAATTCTCTTTGTGTCAGTCTCTCCCACCCCTGCTAACAGTCACTGCTTGACTCCCACTGAATGGAAAACAGCTGGGTCAGGGACTGCCCAGAGCACATTATGCCCAATTCTTCAATGAATTCCCATCTACCTCTCCTACTCTGTCCAGTGCACTCCCTTGCTCCCTGTCCTCATTTAAGGTGTGGCTGTGCAGCTGAAACAAAAGAAAAACAGCCTGTATGAGAACATTTTTCTCACCCACATATGGTACTCTCTCCCTCTCCCACTTTCTGTGAAATTGTTTCCCAATCTTAATCCCTGGTGGTACTCGAGTGTTATGGCTAGTTCTGCTTTTGACAAGTTGAAGAACGTGGAGATATAATGCAGCTGAGCTGGACGGCCAAGTATTCATGTGGTTAAGAAATGTGTCAGAGTTATGACTTTGCCCCCAACCTCGTTCACCATACTGGATGTGAAGACTAACAGCCATAAAAAAGTGTTTATATTTCTTAAGACATTTTTTTTTAATAAGGCCCATTGAAACAGCCTGTTAAAATGAAATGTGTATTGTGTATACAGTTTGTTATTAACATGTATAGTGCAGTGTTTTTTGGTTCACGGTCATTAACTTTGTAAACATTGTTTTGATTGTTTCTGCAAACCTGTTGTGAGACAATTACATTTTTGAAATATGAAATAACACAATTTACAAATTCAAAGTTTAAAGCATATTATATTGTTGCAAACAATTCATTTTTTAAATGACCCTACAGAATAGTTGGCAATTAAGAGAAATAATGTGTCATCATCTGGTTGTGGCCACTTCAGTGCGAAAATACTTTCACTTTAAAAGTAAAAAACTTTCTTATTATGATAAAAGAGAAACAAACACATTGATATTATTTGTCAGGGCTTGTGACTGGAGGACATGGGAGGCCAACATTTAGACCGTTTTGAAGTTGGTTATTAACAGTTTAGTCAAAGTGGAGTAAACTGCAAAGCTACAACATGATGCTTTTTTGTTGTTTTGAGAGAATAGAGGAACTACGATTGTGTTGGGTGGTTTGGCTGAATTACAATTTATGAAATAAAAAAGGAATACAGCTGAAGACTGTGTGAGAAGCAAAGCAGGGTCACGAGAAGTACTTGGAGGAAGTATTGCTTCAGTTTCTGAAGGGGCTGGGGTGACAAATTGGGTGTATATTGTGGGCAATGCATCTGTTTGTGTCTGTATGCCAGTGCAATTTCCTGCCTGCAGATTGACTAACATGTGGGCACCTGCCCTGACAAATCCACCCATCCTGTTTCTCTCAGTGCACACAATACATATACTCTTTCTGCCAAGCAACATGCAAATAAATTATAGAGGAAACATGCATACAAGTGTAAAAAACAGCACAGCCTTGTGCGCACCATGATGCCAAAACACCTAGAAACTGACCCCGAGTATGAGCTAAACTTTCCAGAAACTTAAAGTTTCATACCAGCTCACATGGTGATAGTATAAACTGGTATAAGAGGTTCATGGACTTGTCATACACGGTTGCTGGAATCAACAGTTAGAAGCACACACAGTAAACCAAACAGGGACTTGACATCATAAAGTCTGCACAGTCAGCAAAGAGGAGTGCAGCGGCAAAAAGTAAAGTAGCGTGGCCTTGGGGGAGAGAGGCTGACGGCTGACACACACACACACACACACACACACACACACACACACACACACACACACACACACACACACACACACACACACACACACACACACACACACACACACACACACACACACACACACACACACACACCACACACACACACACACACCACACACACACACACACACACACACACACACACACACAGTATAGGCATCCCAAACATTAGAAGTATTAATGAGATCTTTATCTATCAGAGGAAAGGTAGAGAGAGCCTTAATACTGCAGGCCTGGAAGGGGGAAAGTTGAACAACCTAATGAGCTGGCATGCAAACAATTGCAGTTCAGAAGGTGAGAGTGTG